ACCTCTCTGGGCCTGGGTGATAATAATACCCACCTTCTCTGGTTATCCGGAGATTGAACCGCGGCGGAGGTGCTTCGTACACAGTAGGCACTCGTAGTCACTGTCTTCTCCTTGCTCCCCTCTAGGAGTCAGACTTCCCCCAATCCACAAGAGTGCTTAGTGCAGGAAATACACAGAGGCTCCCCACAGTGGCCAGGAAGCCAGTGAGTGGCCCACCCTCTTCTAGCCATAGTATCCAAGCACAGGTCTCCTCAGTAAGAACCTTCCTGGGAGTGGGAGGACTCAGGTCTCTCTCTCACACCTGACTGGAACACTCTTTGGAAATGGAAGAGAACTACCTCATCCAGAACAAATCCTTCTCCCCCAAAGGCCTCCGATTTAAGAGTGGCTGGTTCAGGGAAGCCAGGCCAAGGCTGGAGCAGTGGGACTGGGGGCTTACTGGGTGGGGTGGGGTTGCAGTGTCTGCTCCTGTATGACCAGCCAGGCAAGGCTACTGGGGAATAGCCCTTCGGCAGGGCCCCCGTCCTGGGCTCTGCTGCCCCAGCCACCGGGCCCTGCTCATTTTTAGAGCCACCTTAAATTACAAGCATGTTATAATCCCCAGCACCCAGGCCAGGCCCCACGCAGCAAAGAATCGCTTCTGCATTCAAAACTCTCCAAAAGAGGCCCCACACCCCCACTCAGCCCTCATTCCAGGGGCCACATTCCTCTCCCCACCCCCCTGCCCACCCGCAGAAATCCCTTTCTGGACCTGTCCTAAACTGCTGCAACTCAGAAGCCCCTTTCTCTCATTCTTCACGATGATCCCAAGAACCTCTGGTTTGTCTCAAAATCCAGGTTCTTCTCAGAACTTTTACATTTCTTTCCCAGACTCAAGTATTAGGAGGACATAGAAATAAAGAAACAGGGTTCAAAATGGCAAGGTGGCGGGGGGTGGGGCGGGGAGGGGGCTTGGGGCTAGCTCCCCCTTCTCCTTCCTACCCCAGCAGCTCCTTGCTTCCAAATGGGTGTTTTCAAGAAGCCACTACCCCCACCCTCTCTTTTTCTTCTTCCAGAAATCTAACTTTTGAAATACATTTTAAAAATATTTGCCTGTGTAGGAGAAATACATTTATTTGGACAGGAAGGATAAAAAAAAAAGAAAAAGAAAAGGCTTGATTACCAGTTTTTCCATGAAGGCTTCCAGCCCACAGAGGTCTCTCCCTTCTATAAATACTTTAGCACAACTTGGCTTTATTATATATTCTCCTGTTTTATAATCAAGTAAAATATATACTGAAATATGTAATGCCGAAACACACACACGTGTGTGGCCTTTGATAGCAGGGTGAGGTGGTAGAAGGAGCATAGGTTAAAGAGGCTGGTCCCAACTATTACCAACTGTGTGACTTCCAAGAAGTTACTCACCTTGTCTGGGCTTCAGTTTCTTCATTTGAAACAAGAAGATGGGGCGCCTGGGTGGCTCAGTTGGTTAAGCGACTGCCTTCGGCTCAGGTCATGGTCCTGGAGTCCCTGGATCGAGTCCCACATCCGGCTCCCTGCTCGGCAGGGAGTCTGCTTCTCCCTCTGACCCTCCTGCCTCTCATGCTCTCTGTCTTTCATTCTCTCTGTCTCAAATAAATAAATAAAATCTTTAAAAAAAAAAAGAAAGAAACAAGAAGATGAAAACATACCAATGTCACAGAGTTGTCATGAAGAGTGTATCTTTGGTAGTAGATATAAAGAATGTAGCAAGGAGTCTGGCCCAGCGTAGCTGACCTGCTATTTCCATATAGGAGGCCTTGGGGGAAGGCTGTTCTGGGGAACTTGTCTCGAATCTGCAGATGCAGAACACTCACCTAGCTTTGCCCAGCTGGTATGTTTTATTTGAGGACTTGAGGTGATGGAGGCAATGTCACCTTTTGGTGTCATTACAGATGTCCAGCAGATCTCAGCCCCCTTGTTGCCTCCTTGACCCAGGTCACTCACGGGGTCAGTGTCCAAGCCAGGACCACAGCCACGGTTTTCTGACCAGTGCTCTAGCTTCTACCCGCCATCTTGTTCCTTCATACCTAGCCCCTCTTCTTGCTACACAAATTCCAGGAACTACCACACAAACCCTTTTGCAGATGGGAAAACTGACAAGAGAGAAGTCCAACCACTTGCATGGCTCAGGAGCTAGGACTAGAGGGGAAAACAGGCCCCCTGACCAGTGCTGTCACACATTCTGGGAAATTCCTAAGGGAGTAGGGCAAGATCTTGCTGCAAAAATTTGCTTCCTAGTCTGATGGGGGTGGGGGGCAGGACACAGAATAGTTATGAAAACATTGCCAGAAGGCCCAAAAGATGGTCTCCAAGAGTCCTCCAGCTGGCACTGGGATAGGAATCTGGAGGGTTAATCTGAAAGGCCTCCCTTGAAGAGAACATGGGGCATTCACTGTGTGAAAGCAGAGGACCAGGCAAGACAGAAGGGAGGGCATTGCATGGAGGAAAAAGGCTCACCTGGAAGTTCTTAGGTATGGATGGGGTGGGGGCAGGGTTGAGAGCCTGGGGGTGGAAAGCCCCAGGACCCAGATAATCAGCCAGACCCCTGGTGGTCTTCCCCACATGCCCCTCCCTCTCATAGTAGCAAAAACCCTTGATCCAACTGCGCCCAGTCAGGGAGACACCATTGCTCCTCACCTGCATCCTGGCCCACTGGGGCTGGGGGTAAAAGTATGTCAAGGGGGTTCCCCAGCCCATTCAGGCCCAGAAGGGGCTCCCCTGCCCTGGCCCTGAGAGAGGAGAGGGGCTGTACAGGGGATTCCCTTCATGGTTCCCTTCCTCGTCCTGAGAATCAAGAAAGACTTCGCTGGGGTCCCCCTCCCGGTTTTAGGAGCAATTAAAGGGGGGAAATGGGGACACAAAGATAGGGCAGGACTTTCCTGGGGCTCTCCCAGGGATCAGGGGCCTCCCAGGGACACCATCCGGGTGGGGTTATGGGGTTACGTGCTCTGAATTACATAAGGGTGAGGAGGCCTGGCTGGGTGCTTTTCTGAAAGTGCCTCAACATTTGCTTTTCCCTGGTTGCCATGAGAGGCTGTCAGGGCCGGCAAGAAAAAGTGACCAAGGTCACCAGGCTGGAAGTGACAGAGCTGGAATTAATACCAAGATTTCCCCTAAATCCAAGCCAGGCTCTTCATTAAAAACAAGCAGAAATCCTCCATAACTTTATTTTTTAGATTACAAAATCAAACAGGCTCGTTGTAAACAAATGCAGAATGTTACAGATCCACGTGATTTACGAAGCGAGAGGCTGGTAATCAACTCCCGAAGGAGGAGAGTTTGGTAATGCTCTGGTGTCTGCTTCCAGATTTCTCTCCACGTCGCCAGAGACCAGACCTGGCCCGGCGGGCCCTCCCACTGGGGCCGGGACCGGAACGCCAGGCCGGAAGGAACAGGGCTGGGCCCCGCTGCAACACTGCAGCCCGGGCCGTGCCCCACGCCATTCTCCCGGGGGCGGCCGCGCTAACGCGCGCCTGGCCGGGCTGGGCCGGGTGGGGCCCGGGGAAGCCGCTACGTCACGAAGCGGACGGGAGGGAGCCCGCGGCGCTCCAGCCAGGCTTCCATTACATCACCCCGCGGCGCGGAGCGGCCGCGGGGTAAACTCCGCCGCAAACCATTGGCTACCTTGCGGCCCTTCCAACCAATAGCACGATTGCATGCAAATCGGCCATTGGGCGTTTGCTTCCTTCGGATCTGGTGTATGCAAATAGACGCCCTCGCGAGGATGGGCGCGCCCCGGGATGAGGCAGAAGAGGGGTCCCGAAGTCTGTAGGAGGCTGGTTTGCGATTAGCCATCCCAAATCTGGTCCAGCCAGTCCCCTGCGGAAAGGAGTGGAATTAAGGGTAAACTCCCTTCATTCTTGAGCTGTCTTTCCGGTGAGACCCCTTTTCTTGGAGATTCAGTGAACCTAAGAAATGATGCAAAAATTATTTAGGTCAACTTGGAGATGAGGAAAAAGAAGAAATAAGAAATAAAGAGATACAGGGGCCCCTGGGGGGTTCAGTCGATTAAGTCTCTGACTCTCGATTTCGGCTCAGGTCAGGATCTCAGGGGTGTGAGACCAAGCCTCCTGGGCCTGGAGCCTACTGGATTCTCCACCACCACCACCACCCCGCCCCCGGAAAAAAAAAAAAAGAAGAAAGGGATACAGGAAGCTAGAACGTACTTTGGAGAACACCTAGGCCAAACCCTCTGGCCGAAGACACGGTAAAGAACGAAACAGACACAGCCCCTGTCCTCCCACGCAGATTCTTACAGCCCAGCCGGGGGAGACTAATGTTACACCATCTTTCGAATAAGGAGTTTAAGTGCCCTAAAGAGAAAATGAGAGGGCTGCCCCTCCAGGGGCAGCCGGTTGGGTAAGACGTACTGTGCAGTAAATCATTTGAGGCCTGGAAAAAAAGAGAGTGAAAAAACTAAATGCAGGATGCCAACAAGATATTTAATGAGGAGCTATAATTTAGAAGGGGTGATGGGTAAGGGAATGCTTCTCCAAGGAAGTAATTTTTCAACTGAGGAGTATTTGTCAGGGGTTGGGGGGGGGGAGCAAGTATTCCAGGGAGAGGGAACAATATGTGAGAAAGGCCAGAGCGCCAAGAGAATTTGGTTCACTGGAGCAGCAGAGGAAGGTGAATGGCCCCGGGCCCAGTGACTGAGGGAGAGTGTTGGGACGTGAGGCCAGAGAGGAGTGCCTGGCCCAATCCTGCAGGGCCGCGTGCCAGGCATCGGGCCAAGCACCTTCCTTGCTTTGTCTCTTCCTTCTTTCAACAGCCCTCTAAGGTGGGTACTATTTAGTACTGAGGAAACCGAGGCTCCAGAGGTTAAAGAACGTGCCGGATGTCACACAGCTGAGAAATAGCAGGGCGTGGATTAGGATCCAGGCCAGTGTGGCCTCCAAGTCTGTGCACTGAACTGCTAGTTACTGGCTCCCAGATTGGAGTGTGCGGTTCAGAGAGGTGAACTGATTTGCCTCGAATTTCCTGGCTTGCAGCAGAGCCTGGGATCCCCAGAGAGGTCTGTAGATTTTTTACAGGGAGATAGGACTCAAGAAAAGGGATAGGGACAGGGAGGATAGGAAGGATGGGGAGAAAGTGTCCTCCCTGCCCAGACCTTGGGGTGTGCTGGAACTCGCCTAGAACGTGAGGTTTCCTGAAGTGGAAATAGGTAGAAGTTGTTAAGCATCTGTCTCTGGGGGTCTGCGGGTAGCAGGCAGGCAGCTGCTTGCTGGGGCAAACCCAGATTAGCTGGATCTTACGTGCTGTCCTTGTTGCCAAGCGACACCTCCTCCTGCTCTCACCAGCAGAGCCAGCTTTAGTTACCGGTGACACTCCCAGGGGAGCTCCTGGAGAGACATGGAGGCAGACAGGAGAATAGGAGAGGCCAGGCCCTTCTCCCATATGGGTTTACATGGCAATGGGGTGGGTGTCCCTTGACCCTCGGGTGCACCTTTGGGGCCTGTCTCTCCTGTGCCTCCTGCGTGGGCCCAGAAGTCCAGGACCCCCAGGCATGCAAGGAGGGTGGCAGAGTCATGGCCAGTATGTCGGCACAGGCAGGGCTTTCCAGAGAGCGCTGCCATCTCAGTTTGGCGGGGAGTCCTGCCCCCACACGTGAGCACCAAGAAGAGCAGTGCTCTGTGTGTGTGTGTGTGTGTGTGCGTGTGCGTGTGTGCGTGTTTGTGTGTGTCTATCTGATCACTGAGCAGGGAATCTATCATCAGGAAGGTTGGGCAACCCACCTGCCTTCTGTAGATTTTGTAAAATTTCCCTCATGTCTCCAGTTGGGGGGTTCCTACCTGTCAGAGGGTTCTGGAGTCATGGAGTAAAGAGGTTCTAATTCCCTGGGATGGGAGCGCCCATTCCCCTGAAAGATGTGGGGGAAAATAATTAGGTGATTTAACTGCTAGGTAACATAAAGGATTAATTTTATATTTTTAGGGAGAGGGTTGTTGTTGTGGTGGGTTTCTTTTGGTTTTTGGGTTTTGTTTGCTTTTGTTTTTGAGGAGTAGGTATCTTAAAGGCACAGAACTGGAATAGCCATTCTCATTCTTAACACGTGACTGCCGTCCACTGGGAGCACACCCTCCCACGTCTCGGGTGGTCTGCGAAGGTGCGCCCAAGTTGTTTTCAGGAGGAGGAGTGTGTGCCTGGTGACTGGAGGGGGTCATGTGGCTCTGCCCTTTCCAGTGGGCATCAGGGTGTGTGAGCACCTGGATTGAGGGGCCGTAAGTGCAGTGACAGAGTGGGCTGTGACGGGCATGGGCTTGGGGCAGAGTACAGCCCTGGGACAATGCAGCCTGCAGCCCCTAGCAGCCCCCATGCCACCCAATTTCTCAGTCTCCTCTTGCTCTCCGTTGGGGCCCTTGGCGGAGGACCCAGAGGAGCCGAGCTTCCAGCTGTCCCTGGGGCTGGCTCCGGGGATCCTAAATCATGTTCTCTGGGCCAGGCTCTGGCTCCCAGCACCGGGGGCAGGGGGAGGGGGGGGTTGTAGTGGCCTGGCACCGCTATGTAGCCACTCAGGCTGGTGAGGAGGACGAACCTTCAGACACTCACACCATAAATGTCCAGACGCAGAGTCACTTTGGAACTGTCATCTGCAAGCCAGGCAGGGCCTCCTCCCAGGGAGGGCTCGGTAACCTGAGCTGCGGCAGGCCCTCAGGTCACTTTGGGAGCGGACAGCTGATGCTCCTGGGGACCATTCATCATGCCCCCGGCCCAGCCCGGCATTGCCATGGCTATTTCCAGTCCCTGGGAGCAGCTTACGTAACAGGTTAGAAGCCAGGGGCTGGGCTGGGGGCACTCGTGGCAAGGGATGGGGCTGCTCTCACTTCCCACTGTCAGGCCAGCCTCTCAGCACCCCTTTTCTACCTGTGGAGAAGGGTGTGGGGAGAGGGAGCTCACAGGTCTGTGTGGAATCACTGTGGACAGCCTGGTGTCTACCAGCACTCTTCACTTCCTCCCTCCCATCTTGGCCCAGAAGATGGCCCAGCCTCCTTCCTTCCACGAATTTGAGGCCACCGAGCAGCCTCTGTGTCAATCCACTCCGCCCTACACGGCCTCTGTTCTCTCACCCTCCCCTGACCCTCAGGGGAAAAAGCAGGCATGTTTGCTGCCGGCCGGTCTGAGAGAACCCGGTCCCCAACCTCACAGCCCCTTTCCTGACTCCATGGGGACTGGGAGGTACCACCTGGTGTTTCAGCAGGGTTCTGATACACTTGTCTGCATCATGGCCTCAGGCAGCCTTTGTAAGCTTGCTGAGCCTCCCTTTCCCATCTGGGAACCAGAACAATAATATCTTCTTTTCAGAGTGGTTGTGACCACGAGGGCTTGGGAACCCATTCCAGGAGGCAGATCCCTCACGTGTGTATCCCAACCCTATCTGTGTGGCCTTGGGCAAGTCGTTCAAGTTATCTATTTCAGTTTCCCCCTGTGAAGATTGGAGATGGTGATGGGGCCCAGCTCCCTGAGCTGTGAGGATTCCACGAGTTTGTATGCATAAAGTACTTGAACGGTGCCTGGCACAGGGCAACACGTCTAAGTGTTGGCTATAATTAGACAACTTTGGGAGATCGTTTTCCTCAGCCTTGGCTCCTGGTAAGCTCTTGGTGAAAGGTGGTTATTTTTAACAACTTCTTTCTCCTTCACTGTCTTGATCTTCTTCATAAGCCCACCTTCCTTTCGCCTGGCAATTCCCTTCGAGTGCCCTCGGATCTCTCCTCTTGGGCTGAAGAGCTCCTGCCTCCGCCAGCAAAGGCGTGTATAAGTGACATTTGCTGGGGGTGTACATTCACGAGACATTTCACAAACGCTTCTCTTTGGGCCTTGCAGCACACCTGAGAGCAAGCAGTGCAGCTCATGTCACTACGGTCGTTTTGCACGGCCCGGGACAGGGCTTGAGCCACCCAGAAGCATCCGCTGCCACGATGTGTCCCCAGGCCAGGAGTCAGGGTATTCTGACGTCGGGCATGGGAGCACGCCGGAGGAGGCAGCCAGGGCTGGCCAGCTCCATGCTGCCGGGACAGATTAGTGCAGGAGGCCCTCTTTCTTCCAGTCCGGCCCCGACTGAGCGCCCACGGCGTCTCCCATCCTAGCCCCGGGCCCAGACCACCCCCAAAATGCTGTGCGGTGGTGCCCTCTGCTGGACAGAAGTGGCCTCTAGCAAACGGTTGCCTCTGTAGGGAGAAAGGTGAGTGGTGGATTTACTCATATTCACACAACAGTCTGTCCAGGGCCTACTGTGTGCCAGGCAGTCTTCTAGGAACCACAGAGATGAGGGAGCAATTAAAAAAACTCCCGAAGTCTCTGCCTTCCTTGGAGATATATTGGTGAGGAGAGGGGTGATACTGATAAACACATATGTAACATAATGCGTCCTACCCAGCAGTGCTATGAAGACAGACAGGGCAGGTAAGTGGCTACAGAATGGCTGGGGCTGCTAACTATAAAGGAACAGTCAGAGGGGCTTCAGGTAGGAGGGACCCCAGGGAAGTGAGGGAAAGAGCTCTTACCTGGGGAAAAGGCCAGCGAGGCAGAGGGCAGTTGCATGCACTAAGAGGGGGAAACTCTGAGTATGCTGGAAGAATAATGAGACCCATGGAGCCAAGAGCAGCCTTGGGGTGGGGGCAAGCTCAGAGATGGACATCTCTCCCTTTCTTACTATTAGGACATGTGTAGAAGGGAGAACATCTTGCACACTCCAAGAATCAAGGGGCTGGAGAAGAGTCTTGCTCAAAATACAGGCACAAGACAGCCCCTGCTAACAGGTTCCGAGCTGGATATGCCCGGGCCTGTGAAGGGGTATTCCTGGCATTAGCACCATTTTGTAGATAAGGAAACAGGCTGAGAAAGGTAGAGGTTGTGTGGTTTGCCTAAGGACAGAAGGACTTGAATCCAGGTCTGTCAGACTCCAGAATCCAGGCTTTTAACCATGACTTGTGCACTTGGAGGGGAAAAAAAAGGCCAGATACAAAACAGCACGTAGGGTATGGTCACGTTTGTATTAAAATCCATATCCATATATATGCTTCTATATATGGGGAAAAGACTAAAAGGCAATATATCAAAATGTGATGGTCCCTAGGGATGAATTGTACCTCTAGTTCCACTGAGGGCCAAGGACAGGGGGAAAGGTGATTCCCCCCCAGCCACACCCCAGAAAGTATGAGAGACTTAGCATTAACTACACCCACACCTCATTACCAGGTGCTCCCTTGGAGTTTGCCAAGTGTCATTCACCGTCCTGCCTTTGGTCCTCATGACTGCTATCACCGGGAAGAAATCCGAACCTAGCCTGTGGCATAACTGGCACTAGGACCGACACCTACAAATTCGGAGTCCTGCAGGGTCGGGTCAAGGAAAGAAGAGATGGCAGACAGGTCAAGGAAAGTCCGAAAACCAGGCGGCCAAGGAGGCAAAGGAAAGGAAGCGACGACCAAGAGGTGAAGCAGTTCCCAAGTCTGTCCAGCAGAGGGCGGCAGCGCCCCAAAGCTCCGCAAACCTGCCCGGGCCACGCCCCCTTGCCCAGACGGGCCCCTCCCGGGCCCCCCGGAGCCCTGAGGGGCGCGGCGGGGCCCTTCCCGGGACTCCAAAGGGTCTGCGGGGCGAGAGGGTGGAGGGGCGGCGGGTGGGGTGGGGCAAGGGAAGAAGGGGCCCACCCGAGAGGTTGCCCCGGGGCACGGTGTGGGTGTCTGCAATGGGGTCAAGTGTGCTGGGGCGCCGCGCGTCTTCGCCGGAAGAGCGAGCGCAAGAGCGAGCTGGGGGTGCGGAGCCCGGGTGGGCGTCTGCCAGGAGAAGGTCCCGGCGTGGGCGGGGGGGGGGTGCAGAATGTCTGTGGGACTTCCTGGGGCGGCAAGATTTGCTGCTCCGGGGAGGCGGTTACTCACTCAAGCTTTGCCACCTGCTTCCCTCCCAGCTTCCAGCCAAACACAACCCAGAGTCCCCATCTCCACCCCCACCCCAGCTAATGACGGCTGCACCCCCAGGCTGGAACCTGCCTCTGCAATTCAGCCCTCAGCCTCTCAGCTTCAGAGTGCGCGAAGATGGGGAGGGGGCCCCCGCTGATTCCAGTTGGTGCACTGAAGTGGCACTCCCACCCCCACCCCACTTAAACCAAATCCAGAACTTGAAGGTCAATCCTGTAGCCCCCCTGGCAGCTCACGGGCCTCCTCCCCCAGCACCACCACAAGTCTGATCTCCCCGTGCCTACCCCCAACGCTTGGTCTAGACAGGAGCCCTTAAGGAGCAGCCGCCTGCAGGGAAGCCCTAGCCGGCCCGCCCCTCAGGTCCCAGCCTCCTCTCCCCTCCCCTCACCCCTGAGCACCGGCCACACACACAACCAGCAGGTCCC